CAAAACTGTATCATATGTGTTCACTACGCACAGCTATTCGTCAGCTGAATACAAGAAAATGGTATGGTAAGGATTCTAACTGACGATTATATAAGCATTGTTTGATGAAATATATAGCAATTTATTTGAAATATTGGTGCATTTAAGGGAAATGTAAGTCCTCTTTTATACGTGTTATAAGTTGAAAAATAACTTAAGGCTGCTCGACGCCTTTAAGTCCATGGTCCTAGACCTTTTCCTGGAAGATGCGGGATTGTTAACAGGACTTGGTAGTCGACAGTAAACCTAGCTTCGCCAGTGACCACTGCTGCCTGAGACAGCAACATAGGTTTATGTTTACAATTAAGTCCTTCTCCTGGTGACTCTTGCCTTTTACCAATAACCTGGGATTCTATCTGATAATTATAGGGTTCTGAGTACAACCCCTGCTCAGACTACTACAAACTTTAGTGTAGAGGCTTGAGGTCGGCCAACTGACGTACTAATTTGACTCTCCCAAAACGAACGTAGGGATTCCAAGTGGGGTCTTCGAAAGGTCCCTATGTATTATGGCCGCCTATATAGATGTTTAGGTAGGCTGAATTACCCATAATCTTCCAGTTATCTGCGCACCATCCGTCAATCCAGCAGGGCTTTGATGATGGCATTGAACTGGAGAGTGGTCCTCCGACGTTCACTGCATACCATAACCGTGTACTAAGCGAAATTAGCCTTTTAAATTAACCAGGGAACTAATCGCTTACTTACAAATTTAAGTAGGGTGATTTTCACAATCTTACCACTTTTGTACCGCGCTAACCTTTTTTCTAGTTTGTGTTGGTGGTACCACTAGAAAATGTACCTCAATGACCTCGCCCGAGGTTGGGACACGCCCCACCGACATACACGCGTTCACAGTTGGTCGGGCGGGGGGTTAGTGATGATATTAAAGCCTACTTCAGTGTCCTTTCCAGAGGTTTGAGTACGCGAACCAACTTGTCCTTGTAACTTTTGTATTTTACAAGAATATTGCGATTCAATTCGTCCCCTGGCATGCACCGCCCGTTCTTTACCCTAAAAGCAGCTGCCCTTGAGCCTGAGGGGCGCGCTTCACACGCTCTTCAGGCGGCCCCACAAGGAATCCCTACTAAAACGAAGACGAAGACTGAATGTGGCCTTCGTGACATCTCAGCCCTTCCCTTGGCATCTGAGCCAATCATTCTGTGGCAGGCAACCACCATGCCAATTCCCCCTTCATTCGCCAAGTCCTGCTGCTCCAAAATCATGCCTCGTCACAAACGACTGTTCCAATGGTTCCTTTAATTGGCACCCCAGTTCCCCAAGGTTTGACCCCGCAGCTGCTTCTGGCTAACCGATAACAGCTGCGCCAGCGTCCCCTGTCCTT